CTCACTTGGTAGCCCAGGCTGGCCTCGAACTCACAGAGATCCGCCTGGCTCTGCCTCCCGAGTGCTGGGATTAAAGGCGTGCGCCACCAACGCCCGGCAAGACTTTCTTCTTTATCTGTATAGTATTCCTTTAGTACGGGCTTAATGCTTAGTGATCATGAACGATAAATCTTAGTTTATGCTTGTTTTGATACATCCTTCTTCCTCTATCAATTTTAATTTTCTTATTTTACGTTTAGTTATTTTATTTCATGGGTATACGTGTTTTACCTGCTCATATGCATACGCATCATGTGTGTGCTTGTTACCCACAAAGGTCAGTTGCTAACTTTTACAGCTTGGATGTATGTTTTGTGCTTTCTTGGTTTTAGGACTGCTGCTAGAAACTGATGTTACTCTGATAAGCTTAAATTTGTAGGAGAGTTGGTGTGATTATTTTTTCCTTTGCTTTGTCTTTTTGGCGTCTTAGCTATTAATAAGCTATAGAAAAGTTTTTCTCTGGTGGTGTCCATCTGGAGCTCTAAATGCTGCTTTTGTTTGGATGTCCATTTCTTTCTCTAGATTTCAGGAGTTTTCTGCTATAGTTACCCTTTGGTTTTGGTTTTAGTTTTTCCTTTTCCTCTTTCTACCCTATGTATTTTTTTTCCAGAAGCATTTTCTTATTTAAAGTTATATTAAAGAGTTGTAGTAATCAAAATACCAGCATACTGTCCAAAAACATAAAGAACACGATCAATAGCCAAGAAATAAACCTGGACAAATACAATATAGTAAACTAAGTTTTGGCAAGGGTGCTAAGAGGACAGTATGGGAAAATGGATAGCCTGTTCAGTAAATAAAACTGAGGAAACTGGATATTCACATGCAAAAGAATGATTTTGGACCCTTACATGATTTACAAAAGCCAATTTACAAAGTACAGAATATCTAAATGTAAGTCCTAGGCACAAACGCGGTGGAAGCTCCTTGACACAGTGACTTTTTGGAATGTTGACTACATTAAACTAAAGCTTCTGCAAAGTAGGAAGCAATCATCACAGTGAAAATAGTTACAAACCACACACCTGGTAAGCAGTATTAAAATTTACATCAAAGCCTTATGAGAAATGTAGTGTTTGCTTGTTCTATTGAGGACCCCATGGGTTCTTACACTTATAACTGGTTCTGTGGTTTTGGGACATTGTGATCATGTTCATTTAATTAGTTAGTTTTCAGTATGGATGTTTGACTGTAGCAGAGCTTGTCCTCCATTTCTGATAATTCTTTATCCATCGTGGCCAAGGCTACTGATGATGCTGTGCACTTTTTTTTTTTTCTTAAATGTTTTCATTTCTGCTGATTCTTTCCCCGCCCACCACCACCACCAAAAAAATTCTCAGTTTTCTTCCTGACTTTTTCTTGCACAATGCTCACTCTTTCCTCTGTATCACTGACTACCCTCTCTGGGTCCTGGGTTGAATTTATCTGTTTATGTGCTTGCTCTTATCATCTTTGAGGTCATATATCAGTTTTACTAACATTGAAATCATCCAGCATTTACCTGCGTCAGTGTGTTTGTTTGGGGTATGGTGTTGTGATCTCTTGGAGGAGTTGTATTGTCTTGCTTTTCTAACTTGTGAGTGTGTCTAGGTTGTGATTTGCAGATCCTGTAGTTTGGTTATTTCTTTTTATTTTTACTTGGGAATCTGCTTATTGCACAGGCTACTCTTGAGAGTTAAGTCCCCAGGGCCACTCAGAGGAGCTGACACACTGCTTCTGGGTGAGGCTTCTGCTTCCTGCTCCCAGCTGGAGCTGTGTGAGCTTTCTTCTTTGCTGTGAATTGCCAAAGCTTTGCCTGTATTTTTTTCTTTATCTGTGGTCATCTATTCTGTCTTAGATGACGCTTCTTAATGGGATCACATGCAGGCAACTTCTAGTTCTGAATCTCACCCAGAAGTTCCTTTTCTGTTTGCAATTTTTAAATTTATCTTTGGATTATACAGAAGATTTGTGGCAAGGCTCTGTGGTCACCTCAAAGTGATAAAATGCATATTAATCTTGTAACTACAGATTACTAGAACTCACCCCCAGTGAACTGTGGTTGAGTACTTCAAGGTCCAAATTACCAAACCTAGAGACAAAATGAAACACCGGCCCCACATCAGTTGTGGTATTGTCTGTCTTTAGTTGGCGCCAGGCTTACTGTATAATTTTCCTCATTGAGTTTCTCACTCTTGGGGAAAAGTTAAAGTTGTCTCCAGGATTATCCATGAGCTAGTTGTCTGTATTTTCCTCCTTTTCCAGTGTATTTATTGACAGTTTGGAGTACAAAATGATAGCAAGAAAATGTTTACTATTCCTAATTTATTTCTAGAATAAAAATTTCATAATAGTAATTAATAACAAAATGAATACCAGATTCTTTGTTGGCTTTGCTCCTGTTTTTATTTATTACTGGCATGTGTGTATGATGTGGGGTAGGCATGCACATGTCACAGCAGATGTGTTGAGGACAGAGAACACTGGTGGGAATTGCTTCTCTCCTTCCACCTCGTAGGTCCTGGAGCTTGAACTCAGCTCACCTGGCGAGTGCTTTCACCCATGGAAATGATTAAAATATACCATAGAGCTGGGCCATGGTGGCACACACCTTTAACGCCAGCCCTCAGGAAGCAGAGGCAGGCAGATACCTGTGAGTTCAAGGCCAGCCTGGTCTACAGAGTGAGTTTCAGGGCAGCCAGGACCACACAGAGAAAGCCTGTCTTGGAGGGCGGGGATACCATAACATGTAAACTAGATGTAGTGGTGCAAACCCACCCCTTATTCCAGGTTGGCTTGGACTAGGTATGTAAAAAGACCCTATTTCAGGGAAGTGGCTCAGCAGGTAAAAATGCTGGCTACACAACCTTGATGACCCTAGTTCAGTTCCCAGAACTCACCTCAAAACCTCGGTGCTGTGGGTAGCATCTGTAGTCCCACCATTGCTACTGCAAGATGGGAGGGAACATGGGACAGTCAGCTTGAAACTTGCAAGGGAGGTCACCTGTAGTGTGCAGCACAGTGTCAGAAACAAGACCCTCAGCAACAGGGAAGGAAGAGTGCACTGACTCCTGAAGTTGTTCTCTGATCTCTGTGTGCACGCCATGGCACACACACACGCCTACACCAAATAAGTATTTCTTTAAAAATTTGTAAAGAAAAAAACGAAAGTGAATAGAAACCATATTATGATTTTTTTCTTATTATTATTAGTCACCCCCTCCTATATTCAATATATATATATATTTTTTTTTTCGAGACAGGGTTTCTCTGTGTAGCTTAGTGCCTTTCCTGGAACTCACTTGGTAGCCCAGGCTGACCTCGAACTCACAGAGATCCGCATGCCTCTGCCTCCCGAGTGCTGGGATTAAAGGCGTGCGCCACCACCGCCCGGCTTCAATATATTTATTTTTATAGTTTCGCAACTAATAGGAAAAGAAAATATGGAAAGAAGTCAATGACGTCTTAATATTTAATTTTTTTGTTGTTGTTGTTTTTAAGGATTTATCTACTTATAGTGTTTTGTCTGCATGTATGCCTGCAGGCCAGAAGACGGAACCATATCTCATTACAGATGGTTGTGAGCCACCATGTGGTTGCTGGTGCATTCTGCTGGTCCAGTTTGGACAGTATACTGTCAGCAACTGAGGCAAGGGTAGTTTCTTTGCCCAAATGGTTAGCTTTTGCCATAAAGAAAGCAAACTCTGTATGGAGGTTCTTCAGTGCTCATCATCCTTTTTTGAAGTAGATTGGTGCTGTCAGGAGATGTGTCTCACTGTCAAGAAAAGCCTTAGGTTGATTAAACACCTTAAATGCCGTATTCTGTAGGTCTTTGAAGTGTTTGAAGACCATCTATCTATCTAAATATATGTGTTTAACCTTGAAAACATTCCTAATATGACTACAAGTTTGATTATTATAGATGACTACTAACCTATATTTTTAATTATACATTACGTTTTTAAATGAGTTGCATAAGTAAAGTACTCCAAGTAAGAGTAGAAACATATAATATATAACATAATATGTAGCAAAAATAACTTTAAATTTGTATCAATACACCAGAATCTGTACCAATGTAAAATATTTTGAGATTGTTTTTTTGGATTAAAGTAGATTCAATAATCTACCGTTTTTAGACTTATTATTAATTATAAATGCTTGGCCAATAGCTTAGGCTCATTTTTAGCTTAAATAACTTAAATTAATCCACATTTCTTATCTGTGCTCTGCCACATGGCAGTACTTTTTTTTTTAACATAGCAAGTTCAAGATAAGATAAATAATAGAATACTTTCTCTAATTTTGTCAAATACAAATGGACTGGATATTGTAACTGTAATTCTTACTTGATAACTCTTTTTGTTGTGTATAATTTTGCTATGTTAAGGTTAAAACCTTCCTTTTAAGTAGACAAAAGGGGAAATGCAATCTTTGTGCACTGTAAATATGTATTGCTCTCATTGGTTAATAAAGAGCTGATTGGCCTATAGCTGGGCAGGAAGAGGTTAGGTGGGACTTGCAGAAAAAAGAGAGCACAAAGCAAAAAAAAAAAAAAAAAAAAAAAAAGGGAGGAGTCCCAAGAGTTGCAGGGCAGACAGAAGAAGCCACGTGGGAAGTTCATAGATGAGGTAAATGAGCCTCAGGGGAGCACATAAATTAGTAGATATGGGTTAATTTAAGTTGTAAGAGCTGGCTGGAGACAAGCCTAAGCTATCAGCCAATCATTTATAATTAATAGTAAGTTTCTGTGTGATTATTTGGGAAGTGGCTGGCTGGACAGAATTGTCTGCCTATATATGAGTTTATTAGCTAGATACATGGCTTCATTAGCTTGTCTGGTGGGTCCATAACAGTGACAATATGGGCCGGGCGGTGGTGGCGCATGCCTTTAATCCCAGCACTTGGGAGGCAGAGGCAGGTGGATCTCTGTGAGTTCGAGGCCAGCCTGGGCTACCAAGTGAGTTCCAGGAAAGGCACTAAGCTACACAGAGAAACCCTGTCTTGAAAAACCAAAAAAAAAAAAAAAAAAAACAACCAGTGACAATATGTATCAGGTTCCTCAAACATCCCCAAACAACCTCTTTGTGGGAGATGAATGTTGAGTTGTTTTCCTCAGTGTAAATTATGTTCTTGCTTTGTAGGTCTGTTCCTCAAACCGTCAACTTCACTATGTGTCTCAGCTACTAGTAAAGGCAGACCTAAAGCTCCACAGCTTTTAAAATGTGTAATTTTTGTGGCATAGTTGAAAGTACTTTTTCATGTCAACGTATCTACGCTGTACGTGCTCCTACCTCTCTAAGTGGCCTGTAGAACTTGCCAGTCCAGGGAGGGTGGGAAACAGTATGAACAACTAGAGCGGGGTTATGTTAGAACACAGGACCAGTGGCAAAGTTCCCAAAGAACAAAAAATCTAATGAAATACTAACTTGTATTTAGATGAGAAGGAAGAAGGGATTCTGGGAAGCATCCTGCTGCCTAGTTTTCAGATAGCCATGCTTACCTCTGAGGACCACATCAATCGCAAGTACGCTTTTAAGGTAAGGAAAGGAGCGGGCCATTTCATCCTGTGAAACTTGAAGAAACAGATACTGGGGCTGGAAAGATATCTCAGCTGCTAGAGGCTAGGCTCACAACCAAAAAAGTGAAAATAAGAACAGATAGTGAGCCTCAAACTATAGTGAAGGTCTTTCTGGTGGTAATGTTTACATTTAAAGTTGTACTGGTGGTGCTGCTCTTCTAGAGAACCTGAATTTAATTTCCATTACCCACAAGGTGGCTCAGAACTGTAACTCCAGACCCAAGGGACCCAACACCCTCTTCTGGCCTAGACATGCATGCAGGCAAAATGCTTGTGTACATAAAATAAAATTTAAAAATAACAATGAAGCATATTGGTTGGTGATGTCCCAGCCACACCAGAGAAGACTGTCACCTTAGGAAGCACATGTTAACATAGTCCAGGCTAGGTTCAAGTGTTTCTCTGTAAAGCCGGCATGGCAGAAACATGATGGATGACTACGGCTAGATCCCTTAGTGATCATTGTTGTTTCAGTTACTACTTGAATTTTGTCAAATGGAACATATGGGAAGAGTGTTGCATGTAAAAACATGACGTATTTACAAATTTGTACATTAGTCTCAAAGACATGCTCAAGTACATAATGCTCATCTCCCACCTTTAAATGCAAACCCTGCTGAGACCATCATTCACCCACTCATCTTGTGTTATTACTGCTTGTGAGAGTACATGTTAATGCTAATTTGGTGACAAATTTTTGTTTTCAAAAAACATGCTGCATTCTTTGCTTTAGGGTTATGGTTAAAATAAATCTCAGAGGTGACCAGCTTGGGTTTGGGGTTTTGTTTTATTTTTTCCTGGGTGGGTGGGTGGGTGAGTAGGTAGGTAGGTAGGTAGGTAGGTAGGTAGGTAGGTAGGTAGGTAGGTAGATAATGATCATGACTAATTTTAATGTGGAAATTTTGTTTTAAGAGTAAAGATACAGGGGTTTGAGAGATGGCTCAAAGGTTAAGAGCAGCAAGTGCTCTTCCAGAGGACCTGAGTTCAATTTCCAGCCAGCACATGGTGGCTCACAGCCATCTGTAATGAGCTATTGTGCAGGCCCACATGCAAACAGAACATTGTATGCATAATAAATAAATAAATCTTTAAAAGAAAAGAATAAAGGTACAAATGAGGACAAAATACACTTTAACAATGAAGATGTTTGTGCCTTTACAAAACGCATATAACTTTAAACATTCATTTTAAAGAATACTCAGGACTGCATTAGTGTTTGACTTCCGCTAATTAATATATTACATTATTATTAACTGTGAAGGTAAAAGAGGAGGGAGGCTTAAGAGGGCATAAGCAGGTTGAGCAGGTAGTGCTAGAGCAAGGCCTGAGTGTGAGGGCATAGCTTCAAGTCTGAGTCAACTAGCACAGCATGCTTAGAGCATGGTAGCCTAGAGGAGCATTTGGGTAAGTTGGGGCCAGAAGTGGACCTCAGTACAGAGTGTCTCCTGTGCATAATGCCCTGGTTCAATTCCCAGTATCACAAAAAAACACTGAATACAGGTAACTTCAAATAAGAACTTTGTGAAGTACATGTCTAGAGCTGTGATGCTCACACTTACTTGGCCATAACCTTAAATCTTTCATCTGCTAGTAAATTTAACAAATACTTACTGAAATTTTTGTCTTTGAGGGACATTTTATCTGTACTCTTAGATTCTTTAAAAAAATACTGCAGTATGAAAAGAAAAAGCTGCCTAGAAGAATGTCTCAGCCATGAAAGGCTAGGCTCACAACCAAAAAGAAAAGCACTCAGTAGTTAAGAGCACAGAGGACCTGGGTTCAGTTCCCACCACCCATATGGCAGATGACAAGGTCTGTAACTTCAGTTCAGGGGATCTAGTGCCCTCTTCTGGCCTCTGAGGATACTGCATGTATGTAACGCACAGACGTACATGCAGGCAAAACACCAACACATAAAAACTGAAAAAGTAATAATAATGAAAGACGGTTAAAGAAAATTTTTAAAAATCTGCAATGTTAAAATAGCACAAAAGTGGCCACAGGGATCTGGTATAGTTTCTCTAACTATTAGTTTGATTTTTGTTTTCTTTTGCATATAACAATAGTAACTACTGTTTTAACTTCTCTTTTATGGTGTTTCCCTAAATTTTGAGCTACTGTATGACTGCATTTGTTGATTTTGAGTCGACTGTTATCAGCATGGTAAGTAGGAACTTCCCAGTTTCTGAATTAAAGCATGGTGGGTGGCGGCTATGTGAGTGGTTTGGCTTCTGTTGTCTCGGGGAGGGAACAGGATCTTCCCACCACCAGCCCAGTTCCTTCACTGATCACAGATGTGGGCAGTGTTCTTCATCCATTTTACCAAAACCTACTCCCAAGAGTCCAGTGACTACTGATCACTTTAACACTAGAGCACTTGAACTGTCCTAGGCTACACAGTCGTCTCTGACCGCACCATGGAATTTGTTATGACATTACAGTGATCACTGCTTATGGACTATATGTGTATTGTATGTATTCTAAAGATGTTAAGCCAATTGACCTTGGGAAGAAGGCTGATAAGATGTTGGCAAGAAGAGTCTGATTGTAGGTGTAGAGCTCTGGTTTAATACTTAACAACCAACAGCTTAACAGGCTCCTCACCTCACTTAAGCTACGGTTGCCTTTGTTCATTTGACCAAGTCTTCGGGTGTCTAGTGGGAAAGACCGTGGGGTTTTGAAATGGAAGTTGAGGCTGGGTCCTCATTCCTGGCCTCAGCCTTCTCCGTCCACAGCTTGTCCTCTGTGCCCTTCCCATGGCTGTTCAGTGCTCTCCTGCAGCAGCAGCCTCACCAGTGTATTATGTTTCCCTCCTGATTCTCTGATAAAAAGAGCACCGCAGAAGTCAACCCCACTGGTCATTACATCCTCTCAAACTGCAGGTGTTTGCGTTTTAACTTGGAAACCTGAAAAGAAAAACTAGAAGGAAATATCATTGGGATTATGTATGCATAAGTGTTCATATACCATCTATGAAAGACGGAAACAGCATCGCTGTTAGACTAAAGACACTGCTAACAAGCATTGAGAATGCTTGCATGGGCTTTCCCATTTTGTTGCTGCTCGCTCTAAAGCACACCCCACGTTTGTGGTTTGTTTGTTTGTTTGTTTTGAGGCTGGGTCTCCACTCTGGATCACGCTGCCCTAGAACTCACCATATAGTCCAGGCTGGACTCAGAGTCATGCCTCAGCCTCCCAAATGCCATGCCTGGCTAGAAATATTATCCTTGAATGAAAAAATATTGGCTGCACCAAGTTAAAATGGTTAGAGTTGAGTGAGTGAGACAGACCCCATTCCTTCCTAGAGCACATGTTTTTGTAGCTTTGAAATATATGCAATTGAAGAAACATTACAAGGATGATTAGTGTTGTAGCTGCTGGGATCGGTATGCGTGTTCTTAAGTCATGTCTGTGTCTTAAGTAAAAGACAAGATAAGGAGTCTTTTTCCCTCTTTTTCAGAATTGCATATCACGATAAAGCGATGGTGTCGTTTTCACTCAGGCAGCCCATCCAAACATGCGGACCTATTATTTCTGCACCGATACAGGAAAGGAAATGGAGCTGTGGATGAAGGCCATGTTAGATGCTGCCCTGGTGCAGACAGAGCCTGTGAAAAGGTACAGCCCTGAGGGTAGCAGCAGTGCCTGTCATCTGCATTTTACTCCTGCCTTGCAAATGCCATTGTCCTGGTGCATGGTTGTCCCTCACCGGGCCCCTGACGGCCTGAGTGCGTGCCTTGTCAGTTGACAGAGTTGACTAGTCCACCTTTCTTGCCTCATTTCACTGTCAGTGTACTGGGGGCTCTAGAATCCTAACATTCACACTGAATGTTCTTTCTTCTTACAGAATTACCTTTAATTTCCGGTGAGTACCTCTCTTTATTACCTTAAAGCTGTACAGATTTGTGCACTTCATGGGAGAATTTTTTTTTAAAGAGCTTTAATTGCAGAATTTAATTTCATGCAGTTAATTTCATTGTGTTTTTATATTGTATTGGTATTTGGGAGATAAATAACAACAAGAAATTCCGATGAGTTTTATTTTGTTAATATTTTCTGACTAATTCTGGTTATTTTGTTATTAATAACTCCAGAAGATAATTCTTAGAACATTTAAATTATTTCTAAATATATCAACTACTTGCTGAGTTGTGCCTTTCCTTTAGAACTGTGGTACTCAGATTCTTATGAAAATTGATCCTAGAGTTGTTGATTTTCTTCCCTGCTTGGAGATAACAGGTCATATTAATATTCCTCTTTATGCTGAGAGCTAGTCAACCAGACATGGTAGCATGCACATTTTTTTGCACATGTGTGTGTACATGCATGCACTACAGTGTTCATGTGGAGGCAAGAGGGCAACTTTCAGGAGTCGGTTCTCTTCATTTCAGTACGTGGGTCCCAGGGATCACCCTGGGCACCTTGACCTGCTGAGCTGTGTGTGGCCTGTGGCACACACTTATAACCCAAGCTCAGAGCCGCCTGGGCTGCATCACAAAACTGTCTGAGAAAGAAGCAGACCTGAGCAAAGAAAATAGGTTTCTCAAACTGCAAAAATAGAGGGTGAATGAATATGCTTTTTTTTTCCTGGAGACAGGATATCTCTGTATTCCTGGCTGTTCTATAACTAGACCAGATAGGCCTTGAACTCACAGATCCACTTGCCTCTGCCTCCCAATTGTTGGGAAATACACTTCTTGAAAATTTCTGTAATTTGAAGGTTTATAGTGGAATTAAATTTTATTTCCAGTCGATGATAATTAAGTTCATGTTATATAAGAAAACTGCTAACATGTACATTTAAAGGGGTGTGTTTGTGTGTCTGTCTGTCTGTTTCCCAGTTAGAGATCAAGCCCCATGGCATCATACATACTATTTCAGTGTGCATTTTAGTGGTCTTTTGGCATGTTGTCTAAAAGACTGAATTGAGGCTTTTTAGGATATGTACTTTTTTTTTAAGGTGGGGTCTCTCTACATAGCCCTGGAAGTCCTGGAATTCTTTATGCAGACCAAGCTGGCCTCAAATGCAAAAAGATTCACCTGCCTCTACCTCCCAACTGCCAGTATAAAAGTGTTCTGCCACCAAGCCTGGCTCTTATTTCTGTTATTGTTTTTAAAACCCAAATCCTCATCCAGGTACCCAAGCATGGAAATAAAACAGGTTCTAGGGTTGCTGGTGGTGGTGGCTGTGCTAAAGGTCAGACCCAGGGCCTTGTGTGTACAAGTGCTATCCTCTAGCCAAAACCCTAGTCCTTGGGATATCTGATTCCAACACTTGGATGGTGGAGGCAAGAGGGTGAAGCATTCAAGGCCAGGGCCAATGAATGTTTGGTGTGGGTACAAATGTTTGTCTCGAAAGCCTGATGGCCTGAGTTCAATCTTCAGAACCTGGGGGAAAGGAAATGATGCCACAATATTGTCCTGACTTCCATATGCACACTGTGGCATGTATGCCCCCACATACTTACGCACATACACACACACTGATAATAAATAATAAATAAAGAGCTGGTTGGGCCTGGCGGTGGTGGAGCACACCTTTAATCCCAGCACTTGGGATGCAGGGGTGGGCAGATCTCTGAGTTCAAGGCCAGCCTGATCTATAGAGAGCTCCAGGATAGCCAGGGTAGCACAAGAGAAACCCTGTCTTGAAAAAAAAATAATAATTATAATTATAATAATAATAATGATAAACAGAGTGAGAAGTCACCCATGCCCACGTATATCACACACACCCACATACCATACTAAATTGAGAGAGGAGAGAGAGGGAGAGAAAGAGAATGAGAATGGATTTTTTTGTCTGGTTTCTCTTTCACCTTGTACTTAAAAAAAAAGAATTGTAAATCTATGCAAATTTCTCTAAGTAAAGCTCTAGAAATTTTTTTTAATATAGAAATAAATATAGAAATTAGAGTATTTTATTTTCAAGTAGCTTCTCTTCTATATGTTATACTTTTTGCAATTTCAACTTACTTCCATTTTCTTTTGCTGAATTTACAATTCAAACAGCTGGGGCCAAGTGTGGTGATGCACCCCTGTACTTCCAGCACCTGGGAGGGAGCCAAGCGGGTGATGCACCCCTGTAATCCCAGCACGGAGGAGGTAGAAGCAGGAAAATCATGAGTTGCAGGCCAGCCCTAGGCTATGCAATGAGATCTTTTTACCAAAAAAGTAGTAAATTAATTTAAACCACATATAAAAATAGCATGTAAGGCATGAGAGATGGCTCATTGACTAAGAGCACTAGCTACTGTTCCAGAGAACTCAGGCTTCACTCCCAGTAGCCACATGGAGGCTCACACTCATCTGTGACTCCAGTTTCAGGGGATCTGGTGCCCTCTCCTGGCTTCCAAAGGCAGTGCATACAGGCAAGCAAAGACACCCATATACATTTTTTAAAAAGCAACATGTACTCATGAGGTGATGAGTTGTTTATGTCCGGCAGCTGTGTTGCTGTAGTTTGTCCCTTACCCAGCAGTTATGAACACCTCCTCTGAGCCCAGCCTGGAGGCAGTGGTTCCTATCACACTAAGAGTTGGCTTGCTTTCTTCTACACTGAGCTGTTAGCATTTTTTAATCCTACCCCATTATGTTCAGAACTGAATATTGAAAGTATCATTTTAATTTCATAAATCCAGTGAGATGTTTTGTTTGTTTGAAGTAAAAGCAATGGGGTTCCTTTGCTTTGTGGCCCAAATACTTAAAACAGTTACCAGGGCATATCACCTAAGAGATAAAATAACCAGGTTTGGGGAAGGGGGATTTTTTTTTTGGTGCTTGATACCAAACCTAAGTCCTTATATGTTAGGTAAGTACTCAACTACTAAGCTACATCCCCAGCCCAAACCATGCGCGGCCAAGTCCTGCAAGGGTTGGGTCTAGAAATCTGACAGTGATGGCTAGGAAAGGAAGAAAAGACAGACACATATGTAAAAGATGGTTCCAGTGGGCCGTGTGCACTCATGGCACCAGCTTCCTAAGTAACCTAGACTGGAGCATGCTCATTGTGTACAGAGCGCTGGGGAGGAGTCATTCTCAGGAAGAGGTCTCAGGCAGCAACTGTCTGCAAGCCGGAAGTTGACTTGCTAGTTTTTTTGCACATACTGGTCAGTCATTTATAAACACTCCTCCTTGCACACACTATCAACATTCACACTTGACCAGAAGGCAGCTTTGCAAGTCCACACCTGATTCATATGGGGAAGGCAAGCCTTTGTGATTGGCATGGCCAGCTCATGGCAGACAGTACACATTCACCCACTCCCTACAGTCCAGTGTTTAAAGCTTGTTTCTGCTAAATCCTTAAAGGATTTCCTCCAGAAACTACAATGTGTGTAGATAGCTGATGACATTTTTAAAAATGTAAGTCTAATATGCTTTCTCTGAATAATTTTTGTCTCTTGGCATATTATTTTCATTTTGTGTAGCCTAACTGTGTTTCTTTTGACTTTTTGAAAAAATTATGGGTGTTTTGCCTGCATGTACGTCTGTGTACTGCAAATGTGCCTGATGCTCACAGAGGCCAAAAGAGGGCATCGGATCCCCTAGAACTAGAATTACACAGATAGTTGTGAGCTTCCAGTGGGTGCTGGGAATTGAACCCAGGTCCTTTGCAAGAACCACAAGTGCTCTTAACCACTGAACCATCTCTCTCCAGCCCTCCTCGGTGTTTTTACATTGTGTGTGCGCGTGCGTGCGCGTGTGCTAGGCATCTAGCCCATGGTCTCTCTCATGCTAGGCAAGCAGCCCATCTCAGTCAGTAAACTATACCTCCAACCCTATATTTTTACTGTCAGTTGACATACAGTAATTACACATATTACTAGAGTATAGTAATTATGCATGGGACATTTCACATGTATTCACTGTGCAGTGATCAGATTGGGTAATTAGCATAGATGTCATCTCAGACTTTGATCGCTTCTTTTTGCTGGGGCCTTAAAAATCTATACTGGTTATTTTGAAAAATCGTTATCAACCATAGTTGCCTTACAATGCTGTTAAGATATAGAAATGTCCTCTCCTTTTGAGCTGTACCAATTATCTGTCCTCTCTCTGCCCACTCCTCCCCTATCCCTCCCTGGCTCTAGTAACTACTTTTCTGTCCTGTGTTTTGGAGGTCAATATTTCTAGGTTCTACGTGTAAATGAGAGGTTATGATATTTATCTTTCTGGATCCAGCATATTTCACTAACACAATGATCTCTAGAATAGTCATATGACTCCATTTTGTGTGTGTGTGTGTGTGTGTGTGTGTGTGTGTGTGCGCGCGCCCACTATAAATTCATCATCTGTCCATTGATATATATACATTATGTATCTTGCCTTTTGTGAAGATTATTGTGCCACAATAAGCATATAAGTGCAGGAATCTCCTCAACATGCTGACTGATGGATTCCCAGTAGAGGATTGCTGGATCATAATACATTTCTTTCTCCCTTCCTTCCTTCCTTCCTTCCTTCCTTCCTTCCTTCCTTCCTTCCTTCCTTCCTTTCTTTTTTTCTGTTTTGTTTTGTTTTGTTTTCTTGTATGTGTGTGTAAGAATCTCATGTAACCCGGGCTGGCCTCAAACTCAGTGTAGAGAAGGATGACCTTGAACTCCTGATCCCCCTGACTGCACTGGGGTTGAGGTGTGTATTCCCACACCTGTCTTCAGGTAGCAACTCTGTTTCTTGGTTTAGAAGAGCTGTAGGTTGAAGTCTGGTTATCCTTTGCTTTATATCTAGTATCCACTTATGACTATACCATGTTTGTCCTTCCAAATCTTGGTTACCTCACTCAGGATGATATTTTCTAGTTCCATCCATTTGCCTGCAAACCTCATGATGTCATTGTTTTTCTCTGCTGAGTAGTATTCCATTGTGTATATGTACCACATTTTCTTTACCCATTCTTAAGTTGAGGGGCATCTTGGTTGTTTCCAGGTTCTGGCTATTACAAATAATGCTGCTATGAACATAGTTGAGCATGTGTCCTTATGGTATGATTGAGCATTCCTTGGGTATATGCCCAAGAGTGGTATAGCTGGATCTTGAGGAAGATTGATTCCCAGTTTTCTGAGAAACCACCGTACTGATTTCCATAGTGTCTATGTAAGTTTGCACTCCCTCCAACAGTGGAGGAGTGTTCCCCTTGCTCCACATCCTCTCCAACATAAGCTGTCTTGAGTGTTTTTGATCTTAGCCATTCTGACAGGTGTAAGATGGAATCTCAGAGTCGTTTTGATTTGCATTTCCCTGGTGACTAAGGATATCAACCCCTCCCATTTGTCTTAGTGGCCAGAGTAGTGTCTAGTGTTTTGTGTTTATTTGTTTGTTTGTTTCCTGTTATAGCTTAAGTATTACTTTCTTAAGTCAGGTACAATTCTCCTCGTTTATGTTCTCATAGTTTTCTGAGTCATTTTTATTCTATTTAAAGAAGAGTCATTGCATGCTTATGTTTCTTCAGTGATAAATCTCTGGGGAAAAAAAAACATTACAATTCTAGTCTAAAACAGTAGCTGGAGTCGACTGGACTTGGTTTTACAGTTTTTAAGATACTCAGCATTCAGTATTAAACAACTCTCCCTGCAGACGTCAGTGAACACTCGCTGTCATTTTAGTGGTCTCCCCTGGGACGGGAAGAAGCCCCAAAGCCTGTCTTTGTTTACTGCCCCGTGTCTGCTGTGATGTCTCATGTATGACTTGAGTCTGTGCAGTATGTGATTTCACCCTTGCTAGAGCACCATGCCAGAGTGTCTATAGAATCTACATTCCAACACTCAAAGTTGAAATTAGGTACATACGTGTGAATATGTATGTTTTCCACACATCATGGAACTTAGCAATAGTACCACCCTTGGGATCTCACAGTAGCACCACAGTATGCTGAAATGCAGGAGGCAGGCCAGTTCTGTGAGTTCCTGATGAATGAGGTAGTCTTGGGTTCCAGATGCTTAGCTTGGTTTTATCAAAGCCTGGATAGGATTGGCTCAGGAAAACCACTTCCTATTGGAAAGACCTGTTAGCAGCTGGGCAGTGGTGGAACACTCTAATCCCAGCACTCTCAAGGCAGAAGCAGGTGGATCTTTGTGAGTTCGAGGCCAGCCTGGTCTGCAAAGCAAGTTCCAGGACAGGCTCCAAAGCTACACAGAGAAACTCTGTCTCAAAAAAAAAAAAAAAAAAAAAAAAAAAAAAAAAGGAAGAAGAAAGAAAGACAGAAAGAAAAAAGACCTGTAGCAACTGGGTGGTAACTCAGGTGGCCCAGAAACACAGCTGACAAATATTTTCTTCTCTTGGGCACATGGATTCCACAGAGCTGCTTGATGAACTAAAAAAAGTAAAGACAGAGACATGCTAGCTATTGTTGGTTCTCATAACAGTCCTCTGGCATTGCTGAAATTCTCTATTTACCAAAGAGGAAATTGAGGCAGTGTAAGCTTCTGTACCTTGCCAAAGCAGCAGCTATTAAGAAGTAAACAAACCCACTGAAGCTGGGTGTGCTGGTGCACACCTTTAATCTCAGGTAGAAGCAGACATCTCTGTGAGTTCTAGCCAGCCTGGCCTATATAGTGAGACCCTGCCTTTAAAGGGAAAAAATGAAATAAAGATGTTCACTAAGCATAAGCAACTTGGCTCTGATAGCGCCTAAGCCTTGTTGTCTGGGTATGGTGTTTCACATCTGTAATTTCAGCACCCATGGCACTTGAGATGATCACTTTAAGTTTGAGGCTAACCTGGGCTACCCAGTGACTTCTCTCCAGAAAATAAAGCCATACACAGGTCCTCTTGTACAAGCAAGAGTTAGTCATACAGTTGAGCTGTTTGGTGGCATCAGGCTGTACTTTCCTGTTGCAACAGCTTCCATAGCCAAACTCATGATTGTCTCATGATGAGCTGACCTTCGTGACTGATTTGTTATTTCAGTTGACTGATTGCTTTAAATAATTGTGGTTTGACCATTAATGGTGAGAAATAGCATTTGCTGTGTTTCCAGATTTTGGCAGGCAGAGGCACATGGCACTTGTCTCAGTAGCTTTTGCCTGACGGTGTTTTCTTGCGTTTTAGAATTATACCTGCATGATAATGCCACAGTTCTGAGGTTCTGTGTCAGCTTATACTCTGCCTCTGTTAGTTGGTTTGCTTGTTCTCATGGGTTGAGTCTCCATCTGTTTACTCTGCTCATCTCCTCTACTTTCAGAGTGGACAAGATTGCAACTGAAGGTGCATCAACTAAAGAAACCAATAACATTCCCAACCACAGAGTCCTCATTAAGCCAGAGGTCCAGAACAATCAGAAAAATAAGGAAATAAGTAAAATGGAGGAAAAAAGGGCCTTAGAAGCTGAAAAATACGGATTTCAGAAGGATGGCCAAGAGAGACCTCTAACAAAGATTAACAGTGTAAAGTTGAACTCTCTGCCATCGGAATATGAAACTGGGCTAGCCTGCCCACCTCAGAATGTGCACTACAGACCCATCAATGTGAATAGTTCAGATGGCAGAACAGTGAATGTCAGCTTGGCAGATGTCCAGGGTGGGAGTCACCCAAATGCAGGGACCCTGGCCACAGAGGCTGATCGAGTCATTCAGAGAACGAATTCAATGCAGCAGCTGGAACAGTGGATTAAAATCCAGAAAGGACGGGGTCTTGAAGAAGAGCCCAGAGGGTAAGTACCTTATCATGACAGCCTGGTTTCTTTGATGCTGTGGTGGAGCAGGTAGGCTTCAGTTACAGTACTGGTTTGAAGTATGTTTTCGATTTTCCACTTCCATTACTGTGTCTTGCTCACGGTGATCAGATGTATTTTCTGTCTCATGTTTCTATGGATAGCCTTGCTTTGGGGAAGAGCCCATCCTTCCTAGCCTCTGACAAAGGATGGGGTGAAGTTGAGGGTAGAGATAAGTTTTAGGGAGGTGAAGAGGGGCTCTTTCTACCTTCACCCCTATTTCTCCTCTCATATAATTCTGAACTGTGATGAACCAGTGGGAATTTGTCTCAAGCCCTAATCTGCCTTCCATTAGCAGCTACTACAACCTCGTAGACTGAAAGATCTTCTTAGACAAGAAATTTAGGACCCAGGTGTGGTAGCACACACCTGTAATCCCAGTATTTAGGAATTGAGGCAGGGGATCAGGAGTTCAAGGCCAGCCAGAACTACACAGCTGAAACCTTGTTTCAAAACAAAACCAAGGTTATCGACCAGTGTGCCTCACATGCCTTAGGTTCAATTCCCGGCACAACAAAAATGGAAGGGAAGAAATACCTATAATCGTTCAATTGCAGCCTAGTGGTTTGGAGACAGTTGACATGTGAAGTGAGAGGAGAGATCTGGCCCCGTGCCTGTGAGCCTGCATCTCCAGAGAGCAATCTGAACTTGAGCATGGTTCAGGTGTCACCGGTGTATCTCATGTGGCTAAAGGTGTGAAAGTGGAGAAAAGGGAGTTTCCAAGGCACTCTGCAAGTGCCAGGTGTGGTGGTCTGTGCCTCTAATCCTAGCACTCAGGTGGCAGAGTCTGAAGACTAAGAGTTCAAGGCCAGCTACATAGTAAGACCCTGTCTTAGTTCTAATAAAAGGAGAGAGGACCTAAGAGAATAAACATGTAAGAAATAAGAAATGGCAGGGATTGCAAAGATTATCAGGAATATATGCTGAGAAGTAGGTACATTTCAAAAAAAAACTTTTTTTTTTTTTTTTTTTTGAGACAGAGTCTCACTAATAATCCAGGCTGGCAGGCCTGAAACATGGTGTGTAGATGCAAATCTGTCTCTGCCTCACAGGTGCTGGAATTAAAGTTGTACCACCACATCTAGCAAACATAAAATATATTATGTGTATGAATGTTTTGCTTGCATGTATGTATGTACATTGTGTACATGCCTGATGCCTGCAGAGACCAGAAGAGGATCTCTGTGATCCCCTATAAGGGGTCATTTAGGTGCTAGGAACTGAAGTCCGGTCCTCTGCAAGAGCATCCAATGCTCTTAAGCACTGAGCTGACTCCTCAGCCCTCAAAACACCAAATTTAAGCCAAGTGTGGTGCTGTACCTTGTAATCTCAGCACTCTGAAGCCGAAATGGCTACGAGTGCAAGGCCAATCTAGATTATATATAACCAGAAGTAAGTCAGCCAGAGCTACATAGTGAGACCCATCTGAAAACACTCAAACAACAAGGAAGATTTTGAAGTACATTTTAGGGCTACGAACATCGTCCAGTGGTAGAGCACTTGCTGGTATTCACAAGGCACGGGCTTGATTTCTAACCCTGAAAAGTCAGAAAATTTTACATTTCTGAAAGGATTTTGTATTCATGTTCATAAAAATCATTGTTTTTTTTTTTTTCTTTTTCTTTTTTGTTTTTTTGAGACAGGGTCTCTCTGTGTAGCTTTCTTTGGCTGGCCTCGAACTCACCCTGTTGATCAGGCTGGCCTCATACTCATAGAGATCTGCCTGCCTCTGCATCCGGAGTGCTGGGATTAAAGGCGTGTGCCACCACTGTTTGGCTGTAACTTTTTTCTTAAAACAGAAGTTCTTAGAGAAAGTATGTTAAGTAGATTTTCCATGTTACCTAATGCTTTATATTGATAATATAGTCTATACTGTAAGTGTATAGTGATTTACATGTAGTTCTCTATGTAATGTAATTGTTACTGTAGCTTCTGAGTAATAGGAAATAGAAAGCATGACTTGAATGTTATAGGAATAGAAAGCATGACTTATGTTTTGGTTCACTGCTGAAACTTGTGAGGTGTGAGAATACTTTCTAGTTCTGCTCAGTTAGTAGCTGGACTACACTATCAGAAGCTGTCTTCAAAAGTGTGGCTCTAAAGCCTGGGTAGACTGGGCTTGTTAGCTCCCAAGGGTGCAAACACACACATACACACACACACACACACACACACACACACACACACACACACACACACTGAGGTGTTGCTCACCCATCTTCTTCCCCATCCTCAGCGCTCATTTTTATGATTTTCACAAGAGAGAGTAGTGATTAATACTTCAAATCTATAAGTTGTAGAGTCTACTGTACAACATAGTGACTGAGTTGTAACGATGAATTTTATACTTGAAAACTGGATCAGATTTGTTTGCTCATTTCTGAAACAGGCTGTTACTATGTACCTCTGGCTGGCCTGGCCAGGACCTTATAGATACATACCACTGCTTCTGCCTATCCATTGCTGAGATTGAAGGTTGCACCTCTGCACCTGCCCTCCAAGACATGTCAGAATTTCAAGTTAACCGCAGTAATGCACACACTCGGTTTGATTTAGCATTTCCACAGTGTATGTTCATTTTATGTATGTTTGTACACTGTTACCAACTTTTTTCAGAAAAGCATGACTAAATGTTCAAATTTACCAGTTATCAGGGAATTACACATTAAAGAAACAATGAGATAATACTTTTCACTTCCATATTGGACACAGTCATATGTGAGCAAATTACTTAATGCATGGATGAGAAAATAGAATTTAACTATTTGTATGAAATTACAAAGACAAATCAAGTCATACATTGTCGGTAGGAAAACAAATAAGTAAAATTTAATTAGACAGAAAAACAGGAAGTAGTTCTGAGGGTGAAAGTATTGCAGGCACTACAGATCACATTCAGGAAATAATTTAGACTGGAAGTCTGCCAAGTCGCTTTCTCTCAACTTAAATCTCACTTCAAAGAAAAAATATTTCCCTCAAATAAAAGAGTTGTTCCTTGAGTTAAAAGTGTAGAGAGGATAGCGGGTACCTGGAATTTATGTTTTCATCTGTGAAGTGTCAGTGAGTGTTAGCGGGCCCTGGGAGGGTTTCTAGCCTTTTCTTCTGAGTGCGGCCCCTCTGAGGGCTGACGGCCTTTCTTTGCATCCTTCTTCTTTGGGTTCCCTGAGTGCTTGGAGTATCACAGTCTTTTCAAATGGCTCAAGGCTACTTTGAATCTCTGAGTTCATGTATCATCCATGTTCCTAAATAAACCTCCTCCCAGAAAACATTTGCAACTTGCACACTTACTGGTGAAAGGAAACATCGTGATGAAAACACTGATATTTTTCTTTATGAAAGACTTTCTTAATGACTAAGACTCTGATAGGAAGCAGGGGAGGTTGAATGTTTAGTCGGCTGGTAGGTCCCCGTCTCTGTGTTGTGCCCCCCTCCCACCCACTCCCCCGAACTGCCTCTGAACAGAGCTGCAAAGTGTCTTTGTGAGTAGGAGCTGGTCATTGTCCCCCAGGGCAGATCACAGGCAGCTGCTGCTGAATGGACTCACAGTGCTTTCTTCTTAATCTTTTACTTCAGAGTAAATCGCACTTTGCTTAATTTGAATTTCTTTGGAACAAAATCACTCAAGTAAATTGTACTTCTGAAAATCAGGTCTCCTAATGCTAGAAGGTGTATAAGACAAAAATGAATTTACTTGTTAATAACTTGTGTCTCTATTAAGTTTCAAAGATGGCAGAAGACCATTTTAAACTCTGTGGCCAGTAGCCAAGGTGATGGGAAACACTGCTGTCAGTAACACATGAGTAAATACAGCCGCTCACATGATAGTGACGGCTTCAGAGCACTGACAGTGGTGGTCCCCAGAGTTGTAGCCTGTACTGTTGGTGATAGGTCCATTTGGTGTGTTTCAAACCGTCAGTGCCTGTCATTCTTAAAGATACACGTCCATGTTGGCATTCTGTGCTTAAGCTGCAGTTAATGCTTCTGTAGTGTTTCTTACATTTATTATTTAGCTTTCTTAAATTTCTGAAGCAAGGTGTGGTGGGTAAGTTGCTTTAGAGTTAGTCTCTCAGCTGGAACTGACCTGAGGTAGATGGCTAGAGGGGAGTCTTGGGTGGAAGCAGCTTCCTCTGGCTGCAGTACTTCCTGAATACATGGCCATGGGGCTTCCGACTTTCTTCCCCCCTAATTTCTGCCTTTTGTGTTAGCAGAGAAGTTGGGAGGGAGATGGAGTTGTGGGGGGAAAGGGCCAGGTACACCACAGGGGGAAGCCACAGATAACGGAACTCTGTTCTGCTCATGTAGACTGTTGGCTCTCTCTCTGCTCCCAAAGCTGCGTGGTGACTGGGGCTGGGGGACATTTTCTTCAATTTTGCAGCTTTTGAGAAGAGATATTGAAAATATGGAAGAGGAACCAAAATGAAGAAGGAAATATTATTCAGGAGAAATGACTGAAGGGATCAGCATTGTTTTGAATATTAATGAGGAATGTGACCTTAAAGCTCTAGACAGTTTCCTGATCACATCCCTTGTAGGCGAGAGAGCACAGTCACTAAAGGATCCGTGTGGCTACTGGGTATGGGAACACACGAAGGGCCCCAGCCTTCGGTGGTGGTGTGCGTCCTAAGCTTTCTGTCTTGTTATTTTGAGTTTTGTTTTGAACTTTCATTTGTGTGTGTGAGGATCATGGTTGTGAGTGTAGAGGGGGGTTGCCCAAGAGGCCAGAAGATCAGGCAGTTGTTAGTCAGCTAATGTGGATGCCATCTCTTCAGCTCCTGATGTCTTTAGTTTCATTTAATTCATTATGATAGATGAATAGTTTGAATACTTTTCATGCATAACATACATCTACTTTAGCAGATTTTTTAAAAGAAGGGATAATTTTTCCATTTAAATATAAATGTCTGGAAATTGCTGCTATAGTGAGTGCTAGAAGAAGTTAGGATGCCTGCATTTCCATTCAGAAACTCTTTCTATAATGCCAGACGTTAAAAGAATATGGATATGCTAACCTGGCTGGCCTGCAACTTCCTATGCGGACCACACTGGCCCTGAGCTCACAGAGATCCAACTTCCTCAGTCCCCCAAGCACTGGGATCAGGGTGTGCGCCTTCTCTCCCCGCTGTTCCTGTTCTGCCTTTCCCTCTACACTGCAGTATTTCTCACAGCCCCACAGAGAAGGTACATTCTAATCACTGAGAATTTCTCATTGAATTACAATAATATAATTTTACAGACCAATAGGAACTAACTATGTAGTGCGCCTCACAGCCCAGTATGCACCCAGTCCGTTACACTAGGTCACAGTAAAATCTGTTCAGGGACTATGTTTTGTTTTTCATGTTGAGACAAGATCTCATTGCAACCCAAATGCAACCCAAGCTGCCTCAGACCTGTCGCATTCCTCCAGAGCCCAGAGATGTGCCGTCACACATGCTAAGTAGTATTTATGCATTGCTGCCGCTAGCAAATCTGTGTCAGAGATCTCTGGGAGAGCCAGTGAGATGGCTCAGCAGTTACAAGTACTTGCTGCTTTTCCAGTCCCCAGCACCCATGTTGGGGTGGACCACAGCTGCCTGTAACTCCAGGGGGTCTGACATTCTTCTGACTTCCATGTGCTCAGCACACACGTGGCATTCGCGCGCACGCACACATACACACACACACACACACACACACACACACACACACACACATGCACTAAAAATAAATTTTTAAGATAAATCTTTGGCTTCCAGTTTATCAGCCAAGGATTCAGATTATTAAGAGTAAAGTGGGGCTGGAGAGATGGCTCAGCAATTAAGCGCACTGGCTGCTCTTCCAGGGGACCTAGTTCTGTTCCCAGACCCACTTGGCTCACAGCCACCTATAACTGCAGTTCTAGGGGATCCGATACCCTTGTCTGTCCTTCACCTTCACCATGCACAAAAATAGTGCATATATACGTGCAGGCAAGCACACTCATACGTATAAGAGAAAACCAGTAAACACACAAATATTTTGAAGAGTAAAGTAGCTTGCACCTCAGTTTTCACCCCCGTTATGTAGTCACCAGCGTCTCCAGACGTTGAACACGCAGGAGAAGGCAGTGAAAGTAGGTGCAGTTGTGCTCTGGGAAGTACAGCATCGGAAGGTGGGCGGGAACCCTCTCTCGGAACCCTCCTTTCCCATCCATATCCTCTGTCATTGAATCACAGTAACTTCATCTTAGGATATAAATTTATGCACCACAGAATGGTAGTATAAGATGAATACTTGAAATTTAGTCATACTGGTTTTTGTTTGGTTGTTTGGGGTGTGGGAGTTTTTTTAGAGGGTCTTGGAGGGTTTTGTTACGTTTTGGTTTGTTTTAAAACAGGGCCTTGCTGTCTAACTAGTTGCACAGACAAAGGGGAAGACTTGAGGGTAATTCTTGAATATTCCCTTTTTTTTAATTCATTTATATCTTGGGAGTTGAGTTTTGTTTTGTTTTGGGGGTGGTTTCAGCGAACAGGGAGTTTTTTGTTTGTTTGTGTATATGTTTTTTTAAAGATTTTATTTATTATGTATACAGTGTTCTACCTGCATGCCAGAAGAGGGCACCAGATCTCATTACAGATGGTTGTGAGCCACCATGTGGGTGCTGGGAATTGAACTCAGGACCTCTGGAAGAACAGCCAATGCTCTTAATCACTGAGCCATCTCTCCAGCCCTTGTGTATGTGTTTTAAGACAGGGTCTCACTATGTAGACTAGAACTTCAGAGATCCACCTATCTCTACCCATCAAACTGGGATTAAAGCTGAATATTCTTATTATCAACTGAAGTGGAGTAAATTCTTCTTCTTCATCAAATCAAACACATTTTGTGGAACTAATCGTCACACATGATTGACGTAGACTCTGTTTGTGTGCTATGTTACCAGCTGGGATTTGGTTCAAAAGCTCCACACCTCACATGACCATGGGGCCAACCGGCCTCCCTCCTGTCCTTTTCTGCTTTCTCTTTGTCATGTACTGAGGGCCAAGCCAGTGCTCTGCTACATCCTTTTAAACAGTCAGGTCTGGGCTTGGGGATTTAGCTCAGTGGTAGAGCACTTGCCTAGCAAGCACAAGGTCCTGGGTTCTGTCCTCAGCTCCGGTTAAAAAAAAAAAAGAAAAGAAAACACAAAAAAAAAAAAAAAAACAAACAAGCAAACAATAAAGTCTGGTACGTATTTACTTGCCAGGGCAGCCAGAAATACAGTGTTGCTTAAAATTGCAAAAACAGTTCTTTCTTCGTTTTATGACATCTTTTTCATTTTTACAACTTCTTTTTAATTTTAGAGTAATTTCTTACCAAACATTGCCAAGAAATATGCCAAGCCACCGAGCCCAGATTGTGGCCCGATACCCTGAAGGTTACCGAACACTCCCAAGAAACAGCAAGACCAGACCTGAGAGTATCTGCAGTGTGACCCCTTCTGGCCATGAGAAGTCTGGGCCTGGAACAGAAGAGAAGCGGCGCTCCATGAGGGACGACACCATGTGGCAGCTGTATGAGTGGCAGCAGCGTCAGTTTTACCACAAGCAGAGCACCCTTCCTCGGCACAGCTGCCTGGGCAGCCCGAAGGCCATGGTCAAGGTTTCTGACCAGACAATGCACTCCATCCCCACGTCACCTTCCCATGGGTCTGTAGCTGCGTACCCGGGATTCTCCCCACAACGAACATACAGGTCAGAAGTGTCCTCGCCCATCCAGAGAGGAGATGTCACGGTAGACCGCAGGCACCGGGCTCATCACCCAAAGGTAAAACATTAATTTTGTGTTAGCTCATTGCTTAACGATGTCGTATTTTCTTTCTAATACACTGTTTTAAATTAAGTTAGAGGACAGAGAATGGGAAGTTAATAAGGATGTTTTTGTCTTAAAAATTAAAACTCTGTCCAAATCCCATGTATAGAACCTAAACTTTAATTCTTAACCCCAGGATCACAAGAGTGATTCTTTTATTTGTTGTCAAGCCTCATGTGTTTACATTTGTCTCTACTGCTTTTATTTTGAGAGAGGATCTCTGTGAACTAGTTGCCCAGGCTGGCTTCAGACTCCAGATGCTCCTGCCTCAGCTTTTTTAATAACTTGGATTATGGGTTTGGGCCATATTTTAGCTATTCTTTTATTGCTATGATAAAACACAACAATGAAGGCAGCTTACTTGAAGGAAGGGTTCAGACTTACAGTTAATAAGAGTCGATCACCGTCATGGGGGAAATGGCAGCAGAAACAGCAGAGAACTCACCGGAAGCTACAGGAAGGGGAGGAAGCAGAGTGGGAATGGCTGGTAGCTTTTGAAACCTCAGAGCCCATCCCCAGGGACATACTTCCTCCAGCAAGACCAGACCTCCTTGCTAGGTCCAAGCATTCAAATGCCCGAGACTATGGGGGACATTTCATTCAAACCACCACAGGACACCACACCCAGCAAAAGTTTTTTGCTTTTGTTTTTTGTTTATTTTATTTTGTTTGACAAAAATATTATTCATTCTTCTTCATCTGAGGACATGCCTTGTTCTTATTATATTTTTCCCCCATGCTAAGAATCAAACCCACCTTGTGCATGTTAGGCAAGTGTTCTGCCATCAGACTACATCCCAGCTCACATCGGGTTGGGGGAAGAATATGTGGGTGTTCATAGGCATGTGTGGAAGCCAGAGTTCAATGTTGAGCATCTGCCTCTATCACTCTCCACTTTATTTTTTGAGACAGGGTCTCTCACTGAACCTGCATTGGCTAGCTGGCTGGGCAGCCACTGCCTCCCAGCACTGAGATAATAGGTATCTGCTACCACACCTAGTTACTGTGATGTGGGTGGTAGGCATCAGCTCTTGCTCATGCAGCCAGCACTTCACCCACTAAGCCTCTCCCCAGACCACTGTGGCTCATTTTTATTGACTTTGTATTCTTGCCAACGATACCTTCTCCCTGGTATACCTGCAAGCTCAATCTGTTCTTCATTAGGGCAAAAATGTTGACTTCATCTTCTAACCAAGTGGGCTGTCTGGCATTGAGATCTCTTACATGCTAAAATTCAGTATTACTATCTAGCAGTATTTAATAATGAAACGTGTCAGTAAGGAGAACATTGCATGACGGGCTGAACCAGTTCTTTGCAGATAAACTCTTTCATTACCACATCATGCACAGCCAAGAGGGACATTAGTGGTACGCATGTGTCAGGGGATCACTGATTCGCATTTGGACACCAGTTTGCTAGTAAGCTTTAAGAAAATGCCATAAGAGCTGTCAGTGTATCTACACTCACCAACTACAGATGCCACAGGTGGATTTGGTAACATACTTCCACCAAAAGACTTGTCGTAACAGAGTGATATAAAAGCAGGTATGCAAAACCAGCAAACAGTCAAATCTTTAAGGCTGTCAAACTGGGCCAGTGAGGTGGTTCAGTATGTAAAGATGCTTTCTTTCTGTGTAAGCCTAGTGACCCTATTCAGTCTCCAGAGCCAACATAAAGGTAGAAGGAGAGGGCCAGTACCACAGAGTTGTCCTCTGACCTCCACGTATGCACCACCCCACACATCATACACATACACAATAATAATAACAATAATAAATATAAAACATGTATATATAGGCTCAGGCATAGTGGTTCATGCCCACTAGTAGATTAGGAGATCAAGTGTGAGGCCAGCCTGAGCTACACAAGGTCCTGTCTCAGAAAAAACAACAGCAACCATGCATGTGTGCACGCGCGAGCACACATGCACGCACACGCACTCGCGCGGGTCCTGAGAACAAGGAGTTTGAGTGCTGCAGAGTCGGGCTCCATAGAATTACTCTTTTCATTCACATCCGTATTTAGTCAAGGAATTTTGGTATGTCTTTCATAAACGCTAATGACAATTTTAATTGGTATTTTATAATGTAAACTTAAGATTATTCATCAATAACATTAAAAACGTTCCCCGCTGAATTATATTTTGTCCTTGTTTTCTAGCATGCCTATGTACCTGACAGAAGGTCAATGCCAGCTGGCTTAGCTTTACCAGCTGTGAGTCCTCAGAGCCTCCAAGGCAGAACGGTGAGTGTGATAAGCTTACTTATCATATGCCTACTTTATTTGCTGCCCAGAAAGGCATGAAGCTGACATGGCTTTAAAGTGTGAATTTTCAGACATCGCCTACAGAAGAAAACAGCACTACTCTTGTGACAAAGACCCAGCAGAAGAATGTAGACTCAGATAGCCACGTCAGTGTCTTTTTGGCTTCCTTTCCCTAAATGCCCGAATAAAGGAGAAAGTTTACAGTTTACTATTTAATTCTGGGTTTTTGATTTATTATCCCCTTTATCTTTAAAATAAAAACCAGGCATGGTAGTACACAGAAGGATGGCTGTGAGTTAAGGCCAGCCATGACTACCTAGCATACAAGACTACATAATTTTGTTTTTGTTTTTGTTTCGTTTTGTTTTGTTTCTTAAAAACCAAATAGCTCAGTGGTGAATGATTGCATAAGATATGCAAGACCTGGATTCGAGCCCAGCCAACCCTACACCAGTGGTTCCCAACCTTGGGTGAGACCCCTTTGGGGTCCCATATCAGATACCCTGCATATCAGATATTTACATCATGATTCACAACAGTAGCAAAATTGTAGTTATGAAGGAGCAGTAAAAATAATTTTATGGTTGGTGGTCACCACAGCATGAGGAACTGTATTAAAGGGTCGCAGCGTTAGGAAGGTTGAGGACCACACCCTCCACATACTCACCACAGACTTTGGAGTGATAATCAGTAGGACAAGTCTATTGAGTATCTGTCTGGCCACATGACAGACCTTCTGAAACCTTTTCCCTGTGGCTTTTGTTTTATTCTGAGACCAAGTCTTGAGATAGAGTGCGAGCCAGCCTGGGACGCTTTCTTCTTGCTCAGCCTCCTTGGTGTTGGGATTATGTGAACATATTGCCATACTTGGCTTTTCTATGAAATTTAATATAAATTAGCTACTGTAGAGCCGAAAATACATTGATTTATGTATTTACCCAAAGAAAGACTATACAATAGTCAGAATTGCCCATGGTGGCTCATGCCTTTAATCCCAGCAGTCCAGAGACTGAGACAGATTGGGAGTTGGAGGCTAGCCTGGGGTACAGGAGGGAAAAATCAAACAAACCAAAAACCACAGCAAGTATATTTACTACTATTTAAATTTAGGATTTTTCATATCCGTTCCTCAAATCAAAGAAAGTAGGTGACTTTTCCCCTCCTTTGGCTTGGTTTTTGTTGTTTGTTTTTAGACAAAGTCTTCATCTAACAATCCCTTGCCCCAGCCTCTAGAGTACTGAGGGTACAGGTCACCAGCATTGCTGGAATGCTTTTCTCTGGGGTGACTCTGTTGTCAGTAGATAGTCCTTCCTTTTCACATGAGGATGTGATTTTAATACCTGTAGGATTGTTTGTTACTATTTAAAATTCTCTTCCTACAGTCATCAAGACAAACTCATCTCTTTTTTATAATGTCTTACTTCATCTTACACCTTTAGATATAAGGAAATAGTTGCTGGATTTAAAGTGATTGCAGTGTGTTTACTAAAGATTGTGGATGTATGTTATTAAAAACCAAGGACTGGGTTCTGGTGGTGGTGGTGGAGCACACGTTTAAGCCCAGCACTCAGGAGGCAGAGGCAGGTGGATCTCTGCGTTCCAGGACATCCAGGGCTACACAGAGAAACCCTATCTCAAACCCCACCCCCCAGAACTATTAAACACTAGGTTGTGGATGTGAGGGAAGCAGGCGGCAGTGGCAGAGTAACTGCTAGCTGTCTGGTATTTTCTCTTCCACCTTGCTCCCTCTAGTGGATGTCCAGGGTCAGATTTATGTACCGTCACCCCTACCTTTTTCTAGCCCATAATACATCTTTATTTGGCCTCAAAATGGGAATAGACAGCTAACTTACCATCTCTGTCTTTTGAAAATGCTATCATTTAGTCCATACACAAACTAGTTAATTTTCTGTCAGAAATCAACCTGAAGTTTAGAATATTCCATTCTACCAAAAAGAAAGAAGAGAGCATAGCAGTCCCTTCCTTGACCCACTTCTCCTTGGCAAGACCTCAGAGCTGGACACGATGACCAAGAGACAAAGCCTGTCCCAGAGTCGTGTAGTGACAAGGTGCCTTTTTGGCTTCAGAGCAAAAACAGCTGGGTTTGTTTTTTCCCCACCTAATGTAGTTTGAAGTCACATGCATTGAACACTGTCGACTGCTAGGTGTAAAAGCCAGTTGACTTCTTTTGTATGTGCCCCCCTCACCTGAGGAGCCAATGGGAAGGGGTAGTTGACTCCTGTGACGCCGTGTCTGTCTGAAGGCAATACTGAAATGCTGGTGTAAAGCTGGGCATGCGCAACATGAGCTCAGCAGCACCCCTGCCTGGAACTTTAGGGGAAGAGCCCCTTCCCACCCTTACAGTGTTAAACAAGCTCAGAGAAACGGCTGTCCGACTGCTGCTGAGACACCTCTGCTCTGCAGATTCTGAGGGGTTCACCCCGTTTGTGGGAAGTTTTCCTCCTCAGGATTCATAGTAACCACTGGGGTACCAGAGTCTCCTGTTTGCAGAGTGTGTGGAGGGACAGGAGCTGGGGGTGCACTCATGGCAATATTTTTTTGTCCCCATTTTTCCCTAAAAAAAGAGAATTGACATTTTAATCATACAAAAGGCTGTGGAAGCTCTATTGTGGCATCACAAAATGTGACCGACCTCACACACCGACTCTTAGAATTCGGAAATAACACCCGCCCAAGTTTGACATTTCTGAAGTGTAACTCTTTGAAATGGTGGTGGAGAGGTGAGCATTGCTCTGTTGCTGGGAGAGTCTTAGGTGTAATTTTAACATCCTGATGATGTCTTTAATGAGCAACTTAACAGTTCTCTGTGCAAAGCTTTATGGTGGGTTTGTGCATTTTATGCTTGACATTGACATACTCTTATGAGTTCTGAGAAAATGCCTAAATACCCTGTTGTTTTGCTGTAAAGTAACACTATTCCTTCTGTCTCTCTAGATGTCTATGCATTTATGTAGGACCTATCATCATAGTGCCTAGGCACTATGATGCCAACCATAAGAGGAAACTTGCCAAGAAATCTTGGTTTAATATCTGTCACTTAAGACAACAATTAATCTGTTTTCCACTGTTTGGATTCTTAAATTGTACTCCTTCAGCCAGAGGAGCTTACGCTGCTGCTCATAAAGCTGAGACGGCAGCAAGCTGAACTGAGTAGTATCCGGGAGCATACCTTAGCACAGCTCATGCAACTCAAACTTGAGGCCCACAGCCCAAAGGTCAGCTATGGAGACGTGTGTCTGGCATCATCACTCATCAGTGCGTTCTGTGTCCTTGGTGTCAAGCATGAGCCTGTACCATCATCGCAGGGACATTACAGTCTCCTATTGACCCTTTGAGAATTCAGTTTATGTGAGAAAATACAGTGAAGATGCGTTGCTTCTTGGCCTTTGATTCTTTGGCTGGTTGGGAGGAGGGCGGAGGGAGCTGCACTGGGGTCTCGGGATAGCGCTGCTGCTCAGTAAATACTTTGACTTCCACATCTGCTAAAACAGGTACTGAAAGCTTGTGTTTTCAAATGAAGCAGTGAGTTGAAAATTCATTATAAGCCTTTTGTTCTTACGGGGGAAAAATGAAGACATACTGTTTCTCAGCTCACACATGTGATCCCAGCACTCCAGATGTGGTACAGGAGAATCAGGAAGTTGGAGGCTGGTCTGAAATCTCTCAAAGGGTTAATAGCCTCTGTTTATATGAGAAGGGAGGGCTGTAGCAGCGAAAAGGATGGGCATGTGAAGCTTCTGTCTGCTAAAGCCATTGCAAGCGTTTTCCTACGTGATAACTTAGTGTCTACAATTTTATACACTTGAATATGTCATCTGTACACTGACAGCATGTTTGTGAAAGTTTGTGCTGTGATACTACACTGTTTTTCTTATTACCGATTGACCTTTTGATGATTTGCTCTCTGTCCCTCTTTCCTTGGTTGATGGCTACTAGAATGAAATTCTTTCACATCATCTTCAAAGGAACACCATATATTTGGATCATCAGGTGGGGTTTGTAGAATTTTCTTACTATGACACCAATTAGAATTTACCAATTATACTGCAATTTTAATGGCTGCTTAAGTATTTCAACCACTTTAATTAATAACATGACTTCAACAAGTGACAGTAAAGAGCCCTGACCAAAAGGCAAAAGGCGTTTGTGGCCGGGTGGTGGTGGCGCACACCTTTAATCCCAGCACTGCACTCGGGAGGCAGAGGCAGGCGGATTTCTGTGAGTTCAAGGCCAGCCTGGTCTACAGAGTGAGTTCCAGGACAGGTTCCAAAGCTACACAGAGAAACCCTGTCTCGACAAAAAAAAATAAAAGGGCATTTGTGAGAGTCAATGGAGGATATAAACAGAGTCACCTAAGCTTGAGAGCTTTATCCTCTGTGTTTCCTTATAGCTCATGAAAATTCTTCCATACTGAGGTGCAGCCGAGCTGGGGGGTAACCAGTGAAGGAATGAACACTGTGGATGTCCTGTTGGCAGTTGGGGAGGACAGCAGTGGTGTTCTGGATTCCCTAAGGACAGCTTCAGGCTGCATGGGATCTGCTGGAGGCCGCCTTCAGCTGCCTGAGTGCTGTCTCCGCCCACACTGTGGTCTTTGCCCAGTGTGCAGATCCTGTTTAACAGTGGCCTGGGGTTCTCCCCGTTGCTTGAGTGGTGGGTGGCCAAGGGCAGTCATCACACGTGAAGCGACAGGCATGGCGGCTGCAGACTGAGACCCTGTCTCCAAAAGGCAAACATCAAGTGGAAAGTATCAGAAAAGCAGGGTTGTCTCAGGTTTTAGTGTCTTAGACACTGTTGTCTAGTTAGTTAGTGGGCCTTGGTATCTGATCAGACTTAATTTGTGCTAACGAATGAATTCTTTAATACAGATCAAGCTAAACCTCACTTTGATTTGTCTTAAACTTTAGATTTGAATGTTCTATCAAATAAAGTTCCTGTGGGAAATGTTATAAGACAGATGCTTACATCTTTGAAAGAAAGTGATAAATGCAGCTTTATAAGTTTTATTTTAAAAAAAGATTTCATGCCAGCTTAACCCTTTCCAGACATGTTCAGTCATTTTAATTTTTAAAAAGCATACTTTCTTAGTATATAATTTACATGCTTCCCATTAACTTTTGTCATGGTTTTACCTATTGGAATGCTTCAGAAAGCAGCATTTTGTTACCCAATTTCAGATCTCCACTGCAGAGCCTTGGCTGGTGAAACTCAGTCATGGCACTGAAATGTACTTTGACAGCAGTATAATGAAGATACCCACTGCACACTCTAGAAAGCTTCTGGGGTCTGTGGGAAATCAACTGTCTTTACAGTTCCTTTGCACTGTAAACCAGAGCACTATCAAAGTAGCCCACATCCATGGTGCAGCAGGGCAGAGACAGGAAAATCAAAACTACAAGACTGACCTGTCTCAAAAAAACGTAACCTGACTAACAAATAAGCAAACAAACCATGAATCATTCTGAAAACCTGTGGGATGTTGTAAAAATTAGCCTTAAAAAAATAGTGTAAACATGAATCCGGTTACCAAGAACCTTTGAAAATAAGCCTAATGGGGGTTGGGGATTTAGCTCAGTGGTAGAGTGCTTGCCTAGCAAGCACAAGGCCCTGGGTTCGGTCCTCAGCTCCAGTTAAAATAAAAAATATGGAAAGAAAAGAAGCCTAGTGGTTTCTGTGATTTGTTGTCGTTCCTCTCAGTGAAGTAGGAGGTGCAGTTACAGGGATAGAACTTTGGGGATGGCCGGACAGATGAGTGTGCTGCACCCACCACTGTTCTGGGGTGCTTCTCAGTCCTTTATCCGTTTCCCAGAATGGCGCAGATCCCGTCTTGGGCTTGCAGTTATGCCATACTAGTGTTCACCGGTGAAATATGGTGAAATGCTGGTGATTTGTACTCCCTGTCAGAAGAGTTTTCAAGTAATTTGCCTTTTTCTCAGGTCTGAAATAGTTACATTATTTCCATTTTTAAATTTTATAACAGGACTAATTAAAGAAATGGATGTTTTGAGTCATACTTTGCACCTCAATATAACTACTTCTGATAGTGAGCATTTGACTATTTCTAGATAACATTTAGAATGTAAAACTTTCATGAACAGAAACTCATCTATATCTAAATGCATATGACCTTCTGGTTACCTTGGGGGTAAAGTGCTTGTCGTCCACCCCCAGAGCCCCGAGAGTGGGACACACTTGTAGTCCCGTCTCTATTGTGGCAGAGACAGGTGATCCCTGGAGCAGCCATCACAGCCCAACCAGCAAGCCTCAGGTCCCAGGAGGGTCTCAAAAAAGACAAGATGGATGCTCCTGAGAAACAAGCAGGTTGACCCCTAGCTTAGACACGTACACACTCACAAAAGGTTACCTACAGATAATCTCTCCTTCAATACATTTAAAAATTGTTTCTAGCAATACACTGAAATGACAGTTTTTGAGCTGCGCTATGCATTGTATCTAACTGTAGCTCTATATATGTAGAGTGATGATAATTTTTTTTGAGTGGAGTTTCTCATTCAGCTCAAACCTTTCTCACTGTCTTGTTCCTGCCGTAACGTGTTTGAGCTGACCGGCTCTGTTGTTTTTGCAGGCATTTTTGGGTGTCCGGGATTTATAGATTGACTCATCAGTTTTATAGAACCACAAATTAGACAGCAGATCAGAGAAGAGGCCCCAGGCAAATTGTAAAGTACACACCTCAGAGGAACGGGTTCTGGCTGACTCTCCTCTCAACTCCTGCTGTTTGCAATCAGTGCAGCCTTCCTGCAGCCTTCTATAGGTACCAAGCCACCCTAAGGAACGCTTGAGTTCATTTAAATTCCATTCATTTCTAAGGGTACTTGTGAAAAGTAGAGCCGGAAGATGTCCTCTGAGCTATTTCAGAGATGAATGCCTGTCTCCTGCCGCTGGCAGGCTCCTGTAAATGAAGAAGGGCCTGGCCGCCTGCCAGAAAGCAGGACTGGAGAGCTTGAGCATAGAGCATGGAGACCATCTCGGTCACCAGGACAGTGGTGACCGAGATGGTCTCAAGGTCACAGCAGTGCTGGGTATGGTGGTTCATACCTTTAGTCCCAGGGCTGGGGAGGCTGAAGTGCCAGGATTGCTGGGAGATACATAGGATGAGTTGTAGGCCTGCTGGACTACAGACTTAGACCCTGTCACACAAAATCAAAACATAAAGGCCAATAGCTGCACAATCCTGTGGTAGGCTTTTCCGCTGCTTTCTGCTTTATTCTGAAATACACTATCTCAGATTGTTCAAAGAGCTAGTAAACTACTTGAGGTCTGTATTTTTAATGATATTTTTATCTACTCTTTGAGAATTCCGTACATGTGGCTCCCCATGACACATCTCCCTCCCAGTTCTGTGTCCTCTGCAGAACCCATTGAGTCCAGTCAGTGCTGCCCCGTTCAGTTCAGTGAGCATCTCATTTGGTTTTTACGAACACACCCCCGCCCCAGTGTCCGTTCTGACTTCCCTGTTAGTCAGAGCAATGAAGACGGGATTTAGATGGTTCTCTTCTTTCCCTGAAATCTTCCTGCGGACTTTTAGGTAGGCAATAACAACAGAAAATAGCATGCTGGGAATGGTGATCCAGAGAAGACAGGAAGCAGCTCAGGAGAGTGCCAGGCCCCAGGGGCTGAAGTCAGAAACTAAAGCCTACCACCTTTTACAGTACATTTTCTAAAGGGGTACTTAAATACTTAGGAGGAGGAAAGTCCCTTTTTTTTTTTTTTTTTTTTTTTTGGTTTTTCGAGACAGGGTTTTTCTGTGTAGCTTTGCACCTTTCCTGGAACTCACTTGGTAGCCCAGGCTGGCCTCAAACTCAAAGAGATCCGCCTGCCTCTGCCTCTCAAGTGGGAAAGTCACTTTTAATACTGCTTCTTTCTAAATTTTTTTTTAGATTTTTACTTTATGTGTTGTTTCACTTACATGTAGATAGGTTCCACATTTGTGTCTGGTGCCCAAGGCGGTCAGAAGAGGTCATCAGATCCCCTGGACCTGGAGTTATAGATGGTTGTGAGCTACCATGAGGATGCTGGGAACCAAACCCAGGTCCTCTGGAAGAGCAGTTACTGCTCTTAACCTCTGAGCCTTCTCTCCAGACCCCAAGAGTAATCTTGTATCAATCTTGGCTCCTTTGTTAAAAATTTTATTAATTTACTGTGCATGCACAAGAGAGGAGCAGCACATGGGGATCAGTCGATTCTCCCCTTTCTCCACATGGGTCCTGGAGATCCTGACTTCACCTTGCTGACCTATCTATCTCGCCATCCCATCATGCCTACTCTTGATTTTTCTTCTCCAACTCTTCCTTCTTTTTCCTCTTTCTTCCTTTGTGGTTGAGACATGGTCTCATATAACCAAGCTGACTTTGAACCTCCTACCTCTACCTCCCTACAATCTGTTGTTGTTTGGGGTTTTTTTTTGGGGGGGGGGGTGCAAGGCGGGGCAGGGTCATTCTATCTCCTCCCTCTCTTTCTCATTCCCTCTCCCCACCCTCCTTTCGCCACCTCTCCCTCCCTCCACTCCCTTCTCCCCTCCCCGTCTCCAGCATACTTGGAGGTCGAAGTCTAGAAAGCCCTTGAATAGAATAGGACACCATGATGGCAGAATTGTAAGAAAACTAGGGGTTGGGGATTTAGCTCAGTGGTAAGGCGCTTGCCTAGCAAGCACAGAGCCCTGGTTTGGTCCTCAGCTGGGGGGGGGGGTGCTAACCAGACATTGGGTGGGTTAGAAGTATGGACTTAATACCTACATGTTAGTCCTCTGATCTCTTAACTGACCTATCCAGTGCCTATCTGAGTATAGTTAATTATTGCTGTGGATCTGATCCTTGGTGATAACTATTTCACCTGTCTTAACCTTAACCACGAAAGCTCCTTCTTTTCCTCGCGTTCTCTCAACTGAGTTCATCTCAGTTTTCTGTTTGTCACTGTGTTCTTTCTTGTTTCTGTCAGAAAGTGGAGTTTAGTGTGAGCTTCCTTGTTGGCAAGAAGTTTACTTTGGAAAATTGTAGTGAGCCTTTCTTGTTGGACTTTCTTGGACCACCAACCCCCAAATAACGACACGCAGACTTATTATTAATTATGAAACCTCAGCCTTTAGCTTAGGCTTGTTCCCAACTAGCTCTTATAACTTAAATTAACCTGTTTCTATTAATGTACATTCTGCAGTGTGGCTTTTTCCTCTCCTTCATTCTGTACATCCGACTTGCTCCATGGCTGGTGTCTCTCCACCTCTCTTCTTCCCAGAGTTCCTCTCTCTCCCCGGAAGTCCCACCTATTTCTCCCCTGCATAGCTATTGTCCATTCAGCTCTGTAGTAAATCAATCAGGAGGCGCCTTAGGCAGAGACACATCTTTACTGTGTACATAAAGATTATCCCACAACAGGAAGTGATACCAAGGTGAGAGCAAAGAGTGAAGGGGACAGCCAGAGGTACCCTGGGCCTCATCACATTGAACTTTGACAAATGAACAGAAACTGGTGAAGTTACTCAAGTAAACTGTGGAATTACCCAGGTGAACCAGACAGGAGATTGGCCCCATCCTCCAGTGCTCTGGGGCTGAGACTGGCTGACACCACCCTGAGGCTGTGTTTGCATACATGAGCACTGGGTGGGTTCCCACATTAAAACAAAGATGGATTGGTAAGATGTGGAGAGGTCCGGGCTGGAGAGATGACTCAGTGGTGAAGAATACTGGTTGCTCTTCCAGAGAACCCCTGTTCAATTCCCAGCACCCAACATGGCAGCTCATAACTGTCTATAACTCCATTTCCAGGATATCTGTGCCTTCTGAATTCTGCATGCACATGCTGCATAGACATACATGCAGGCAAAATACCCATACACATAAAATTAATTTTTTTAAATGTTCTCGGTTAGTTCTCCAGCACAGGCCCAGCATTTCCAGAAGTGAACTTCTCGTCCATAGCTTTCATGTCTGGCAAAACCACTAAAAGCAAAGAGTAAACAGGACCCCAGGGAGGATGTGAGTCGTCCTGTGCAAGGGCTTTTAGAGCAAACGGCCCCACGGCTGGATTACTCTTTCTGCATGGAGATAGATCCTCAGGGTGCACAGGAAAGTTGCCTGGGAATTGTGTCCAGTGGTTCCAGTGTATATGGGAGAGGGACCACTGCTCTAAATAGGCTTTTGGTTCAGAAGTTTAGATTATCCTGTGCATTACAGTGCTTTATCATCTGTCCTAATATATGTCATTAATTGACTACATTGATGAAAGTAAAATCTGGCTGCAGCGCTGCACTCTGAGGTTTTTATGACCTCTAGTACAGGATACTCATGTGCTTTGCAAATGCTGTGGACAGCACACTCCTTAAACCCTGGGAAAATCACTTAAATTAACTGCAGTGGTAAACACCAGATCTGTCTGCTTAGAAATGCTGAAAATTTTGTTAGCCATTTCCTCTCCATATCAGAATGCTTGTCCTTTGAATTCTCTGGCTAACTACAAAGCCTGTTGCAGGAAACTGTACTTTTCTAGAAACCATAATGAAGTAGAATATAGCTGGAAATGTGAGTCACACTTTCATCCTGCCATGATAGGAGCAAAGGAGATTTACTGAGTCCTTGCTGAATAAGTTTTATTTTAAATGTCCTTGAATAATTCTACATATACCATTATACTGAGAAAATCCAAGAGTCTATAAAAATACCTGTCAAGACTAATTTTAATAAAATATGTTATCTAAGTGATAAAAATGTTGGGTATTATAAAATTTTAATATCCTTAGAGAACTAGTTTTTTTCTGACTAGCCTTATAAAGAACTGCAGTTTGTTTCAGTTTTATTACTGAATAAAATTAAGCAATATCATTTTTCTCCTAAATTCACAGATTGCCCCCCTCTAGAAATTTTAAATTGTCTTTTTATATTTAATGCTTTATCATCTTACATATGTAAAAGTAGCTGTTAATTGGCTGTATTGATTAAAGTCAAATCTGATTGTAGCACTGTAGCAGTCAGTGAGGTTGATTTTATAACCTTTGGTGTATTTTATAGCTTTAGGTGCTTGCTTGAAATTGTTGGTGTGCATTAAGTCTGTGCAACCATGGGGTGAAATGTAAGCAACTAACTGCACTGTTAGGAAGATACTAAAGTAGAGGATATATTTACAGTGTCGTCTTTCAAATCTACCTGTGCTGTAAACTGATGTTTGCTGTATGCTCCTCCTGATTTGAAATAGATGAAAGAAAATGAACCTATTATCACCATGGTTCACACAATGATTGAGAACTCGGCGCTAAGACCGCAACTGTACCAACAAGTAAGGTCTTGGACAGTGAATGATACTGCATTGTCATCTGCAAAACCCCTCAGGGACAGCCTTGTCTGTCCTCAGATTCCCTCATAACATCAGTGTTTTTACCTTTTGTTTCTGTTTGTTTGGGAAACCACGCTTCATCCATGCTCCCCAAGATGCTGTGGTACCCTTAGCATGGCTTTGCTGAACACTTGCCGTTGAGTATTAAGTGTGTCATCTTCCTAAAGCTTTTGTTTACATCATGTGGTTGATAGATACTTGGAGGTCTGCAGTACACTTAGCAAGGGTTACTGGGTTTCTGTGCATTAACTCTGAAGGCATTTAAAATGGATTTCAGGGGGAAAGATTTGTAAAACTGTTTCCTTTTAAGCACAGTCCTCCAAACCTCTCCTACTCCAGCGTTAGTACCTTCTCTTTATGTAGGAGGTGATTATCTAGTTTCTATATTGATGGAGCGGAGCCTAGCCCTAACATAGTAGGGCTATTGGTTCTCCTGTATTACTGTTCCTGCATCCGTCAGGGTGTTCCCCATCTTATTCCTTTCTCACACATTCACATTGTGTCGGGGAATAGGTAGGCTTTGACTTAGGAACCTTGGTAACCTGCAGATCTGCAAATGAAGTCACACGTTTCTATCCATTGCTTCCAGTTATTATTTATCCATGGTCTAAATGTTCCTGGCTCTGTGTCCAACAGCATCGGCTTCTTCCACTTCAGCACCCTCCAGTTCTCCGAGCAATGGCCTGTTAGAATGTTTTCAAATCGTAATGAAGAGGAAAGAATTCTCTCACATGAAAAATGAATATCGATCCTAATTCAAATGTGAGAAGCACCTGATAAAAGGAAACGTGTGAGCTTGCCCTGGGTGGAAAGGCCCAGGTGCCTCTGTCTTTGAAGTGTGACTGTGGTCAGGTAGCAGAACTATATGATGCTAAGAGATGAAGCTTACTCTGGACCCAGTTTTCAAAATGTTTAAAGTATGTTTAATGCCTGAAAACATCTTTAATTTACAGGAGATAACCAAATACTAAATATTTAAAGTTAAGCAGCTTTACTTTAAGAAAATGGAAGTGACCTCTTAGCATTTAATGTATGTATGCACATGTGCACAACCCTCCACGGTGCACGTGTGAAAGCCAGAGGACTATTAGGACTGATTCTCGCCTCCCACTGCACCCCATCACCTCCAGGATCCAGCTCAGTTCTGCAGGCTGGGAAGCAGTTGCTCTACCCGCTGAGCCATCTCACCACCTCTGTCTCTTTGTTTTGGGATCAGGTCCTGCTTCCTCTGAAGTGCTGGGATTATACTGTCTTCACGGGCCACCAAGTCTGGCTGGGACCACCTTAATTTCCATATTCTCCTTAGGTGGCCTCCTGAAAACCCACCTAAGCAGTGGGTTTTCTACAAATTCTAAAGTTCAGTAGTAAACACATATCAAGTTATTGTTTTATTTTATTTTTATTATTTTATGTGTGGAGGTGGTTGGCTTGTACCACATGTGTGCCTAGTGCCTGAGGAGGCCAGAAGAGGGCATCAGATCCCCTGGAACAGACATAATGGAACCCAGGTCCTCTGAAAGAGTAGCCAATGCTCATACTGAGCTGGGTCTCCAGCTTTTGCATCAAGATTTTAAAAAAATCTGCCGGGCGGTGGTGGCGCACGCCTTTAATCCCAGCACTTGGGAGGCAGAGCCAGGTGGATCTCTGTGAGTTCGAGGCTAACCTGGTCTACAGAGTGAGATCCAAGACAGGCACCAAAACTACACAGAGAAACCCTGTCTCAAAAAAAAAGGAAAAAAAAAAGTTAAAAAAAAAGATTTTAAAGAAATCTTGTGAATTTGTTGGTCATTTTGTATGTCACACTTCTTGTACTGTGGGCTTTATGAGATGGTGATGGCTAATGAAGTTCCTCACCTGATGAACAGTTCTGGAAGACACATGCCAGCAAACGCCTGTAGTGCTGTGAGCATTGTTTGCGTGGCTTTGTTGGTTGATTTTTGGTTGGAGGTTTTATGGGGTTTTTTGTTTTCCATTGCTTGTTTTGAGACAGGGTCTTGCTATGTAGCCCATGCTGGCCTGGAACGCATTCTGTAGCCAGGCTGCCCTTGAACTCAAATATCCCTGTCTTTCTGCCTCCTCGATGCTGGGATAAAAGGTTTGGCTATCATGCCTGGCTGTTGATACTGTTTTTGTTTTTAAATAGTGTCTCATTTACACCAGGCTGCCTAGGAACTCAATAAAGATGACGCTGAACTTGTGATCCTCCTGCCTCTACCCTCCCGTGCTGGGAGCACAGGCATATATAACTGCCCAGTTTTGTTTGGTTCTGGGGATTGAACTGAGGGCTTCATGAATGCTAGGTAAGACCTCTGCCAGCTTACATCCCTAGCTGACTATTTTTTAGGTCACTGGTTATAGTATATTGTCAAACTAAAAGTATTTCCAAAGCCGAGCATGATGTTTCACATATATAACCCCAGGCACTTGGGTGGGTAAGGCAGAAGGATTGGTCTGAATTCAAGGCCAGTTTGTGGTACAAAGTAAGATTGTCACACCAAAAAAAAAAAAGAGGAAGAGAGAAAGCCAAAATCGGGGCTGAAGAGATGTCGCAGTGGTTAAGAGAGCATACTGCTCCTGAATAGGACCTGGGTTTGGTTTCCAGAGCTCGCCTCTGAGGATTGAACACCCTTTCCTAGCACCCACACTCACATGTGCATCCACACATAAAACACATCACTTTTAAAAAATGTTTAATGGCTTTAAAATGTAACTGAAAACTCTTTTTAGAATGTTTTTGTGTGTACGTGTGAGAGAGATATCACAAACGGGATTTTAAAGGTTGAGTTTTGTTTCTTTTTGTTTGGTTGGTTGGTTGGTTTTGTTGTTACTGTAGTTTGTTCTTGTTTTGTTTTTTAATTTTGGAGTTTTGTTTGTTGGTGGGAAAGGGTTGTTTTGTTTTGTTTTGCTTGTTGGACAGGGTCTCACCATGTAGCTATGACAGCTCACTCTGTAAATCACTCTGGCCTCAAACAAAGATGCACCTGCCCCTGTCTCCTGAGTGCTGGGAATAAAGACATGCCTCACCATGCCCAGCTCTAAAAGTTACGTTTTAATTAACGTAATTTTATCTTAAGTTAGCACCAAGCCAGTTGTAGTGAAAAGTGAGAAAAACCAGCATTGGAAGACTAAGGCCCAGTGCTGCCAGATTCTGGGTCAGTCCCCAGCACAACTATGAGGAGGAGGAGGAGGAAATGAAACCAAGAAGACTTGACAAGAGAGGCTTGAGTGCAGCTCTTGAAGAAAAGGCAGGCCAGCTAGGTGGCACTGTGATGGGGTGTACCCTCCCGTACACACACCAGGAAAGCGGGGTGGGGCTTGGTTTTGATTTGGGGATTTTTTTGTGATTTAGAAAAGTACAGTACTATTACTATTTAGTATCGCACTGTTGTGGTTCCATCTCAACATCTGTGGGGTAGAGTCATCTTTGGCTGGTTTTTTGTTTGTTTCTTTGTTTTTGTTTGTTTGTTTTTTGAGTCCATCCTGGTCTTCATGAAAGGAGTGGGAGTGCTGGAGAGATGGCTCAGTGGTTAAGAGCACTTGGGACTCTTCCAAAAGACCCAAGTTCAGTTCCTAAGTTCCTAGCATTCATGTAGAGTGACTTACAACCAACTGTATGTAACTCTAACTCCTAGGAATCCAACACCCTCTTCTGGCCTCCTTAGGTACCTGCACATACATGACATATACACATAAAGTAATTTAAAGAAAATGTCCATTGATAACTATAAGTATCCTGTGAATATGTCGTATTCACCTGACTATGAAGACATCACTCGAAAGCTGGAACAGCTGGGTGAGCTGAAACATGCCCATAATCTCAGCACCGGGGAGGATGGGTGTAAGTTCCAGGCCAGCCAGGGCTACATCACAAGGTCCTGCCAAAAGGTTGTAACTATTCCGTAGACATTTTTGATGCTGTGGCAACTGATAAGAAAATGAGTCTTAAATGGCTCTCTTAAGTTAAAACAGAACAGCAGGGCCCTAAACAATCATCATAAACTCCTTTTAGTAGACTGCTGTTCTCTTTTCCTTGATCCTTGGGCACAGGATGCAATTCCTAATTTTAACCTAGACATAGCACTCTGCTCACTGCGTTCACATGTCATGGTCTAGTAAAGCTGCTTTGCGTTTAACTTTAAATACGAAGTAAAATGTACCAGAACATCTTAATGCCTTTTACATTCAAGTTCTTGAGTGTAAAAACTCATTTTGACCTTTTCCAGTTGGTATCATGGATAGAAGCATTTGAAAGCTCACTCTTGGTCCCTTTTCCAGGAAAAAGGGTCAACGCTTCCTTGGACCCAGGTGCTTTGGTCTAGAATAACCCAACATTTGTGAGGATGCTATTGGCTGATCTTTACCTACAATAGTAAACAAGTATTCTTTTGCCATCATATTCATTTTTCATGTAATATTCATTTCTATAAGACCTCGTGGTTTAATGGTCATTCTGCATACCTTAAATAGTCATAATTCATTTGCATGAGGTATGTGAAGTAAAGTCATAAGATGAAATATGTAATTCCAGGATTTATTTGTATGTTGGGAATGCTTGAATTTTTAACCTTTTGATCTCCACATTTCTAGATTCATTTAGCGTTCTCTGCTGTTTGTTTTAAAACTATAATAGTCAAGCATATTTTTACAGAGGGGACATATAATCAAACACATTCTTATGGACTTATACATGTATATATAAAATTTAGCTCCCTAAACTAGATTATATTGGGGAGTATTTCTCCTAAACTGACAATGAGTGGAAATGTGCCATTTAGTGAACATACAATAAGGTTCAGCTCAATTTTGCCTAATGTGTTTTTGTTGCTGTCTAGCAGTCAATATAAAATCAAAAGACAGTGAAATGATGCGTGCAGAGGCTGTGGTGTGCTCTGGGTATGACTGACTGAGATGGCTATGGAACTCTTGGTAAGCACAGTCAGAAACAAGGATTCATGTGACAAAGACAATTAGAAGAACATTAAAAGATTTTCAGTGCAGGGAAAAATAATTCCTTACAAGGCTGGAAGTACTATGTGCTCCATTGTGGAGTGCTTGATAATCATGCATGAGGCATTGAGTTCAGTTCCCAGCACTACAAGAATAATAGTTGTTTATAATATCATACAAATGCCGTCAGATACAAATATCAACCTCTTTTGAAATTTGTTTAATTATAACATAGCATAGGCTTTCAGTTTTATGATCCTTCAAGTGATTTCCTCTTTGCAATTAAACCCGCCCTTTTCCTCATTATCTTTTAGTTCTTAAGACAGAAGAACCAGATAAGTCTCTATTGTGTATGTGTGTTTATATTGCATATATGTATACGGTGTGTTCTAGGTCTTGTTAATGCGGTTGTGCTAAGGTGTGTTGATTTGAGTGCACACACTGTGAGTGTGTGTGCGCTGTGACAGATGCTTCCCCTGGACATGCTGATGCAAACGTTCGATTCAGTGCAGCTGCTATGGTTATGTTTGTCCGTTTTCCATCAAAGTAATGTTTGTCTTTCCAGTGGAAAATGGAAGGTGCTATTTTAATTTTGTTTGGCCAGCTTCTTGTTTGACAAGCTTACGTTGGCATCATTCTTAATGTATCTTGCATATTGTATCTTTGCTGAGTGTTTCTCTACTTTTTTGCCGGTTTGTGCTTGAATTAAATTTCTAGAAGTATAAAAAGCATTAAAATCCTGCTTGTCACACAGTCATTTTGACAGAAATTTAAATTGTTTGCTATAGACTATATTACTTAAATATTATTTTTAAAGTTGCTCTGTGGCATTTCTTTTCTTATAGCTGTCACAAGATGAATGTAGAGGCACATTATACAAATACAGACCTGAAGAGGTAGATATTGATGTAAGTATTTCTGGCCCCCAGAACTCTCTTTGTAGACCAGGTGGGCTTTGAAGTCAGAGAGATTCTCCTGCCTCTGCCTCTCACATGCACCATTAAGCCCAACTATTATTAAGAATTTTTACAGATAAAGCCAAGAATCATACTGGTACATTCCTGTAACCCCAGCAAAGCTAGAGCAGCAGGAGGATTTGAGGAAGTTCCAGGCCAGCCTAGACTAGGAGACTTTGTCTCAAATAAATCAATAAATGCTTTGAACTAGGGCTGTAGTTTGGCAGTAGAGCATATGCTTAGCATTCCTACGACTCTGGATTCCATCCCCAGAGCCTAAAGAAAAAGAAAAATGTCAATTATTGTAGCATGCTCCTGTAGTCTGAGATGGCATCCATGATTGGTTTTTTTGTTTGTTTGTTTTTGTTTGTTTTTGTTTTTGAAGACAAGGTTTCTCTGTGTAGCGTTGCGCCTTTCCTGGAACTCACTCTGTAGCCCAGGCTGGCCTCCAACTCAGAGATCTGCCTGGCTCTGCCTCCCGAGTGCTGGAATTAAAGGCGTGCGCCACCACCGACCAGCAGCATCCATGATTGTTAAGAGTGTTTTGAGATACGTGAGCTGAATAGCACCCTTAAACTGTTTCTCTCCCTGTGTTTATTTGAGTATTTGATTGTTGATACTCTTTTTGAAGCAGGGTCTCACTATGTAGACCTGATTGAGCTGTAACTTGGAGAGATCTGCCTGCCTCTGTCTCCAGAGATTAAAGGCATATGCCACATTTTACTTTTGGTGGTTCTCATTGAAATAAAAATGTCCTAAAGGGGGAAAGTGTGATCAGAGTGTATTGTATGAAAAAAGTTTTTTCAATTAAAAGAATTAATATTTACAAAGCTCTACTTGATATCCCATGATTGTTTTAAATGGCTCCCTTCCCTTTGTTACAAGAGACTTTCAGTTGCTAACGACAGACATCTTCTCTTCTAGGCCAAATTGAGCAGATTGTGTGAACAGGATAAAGTGGTCCGTGCTCTGGAGGAGAAGCTGCAGCAGCTGCACAAAGAGAAAGTAGGGCGATTACCTTTCCTATGTACAGTTGATGTTGCTGCCTGTGCTGATGATGAGGACACTGGTAGCCAGAGACGTGAAACAACTCAGGGATGCAGACCTTTCAGTGTAGTCCTCTTTATTCCAACAGTACACGCTCGAGCAAGCCTTGCTGTCAGCCAGCCAGGAAATAGAGATGAATGCAGATAACCCGGCCGCCATCCAAACGGTGGTACTGCAGAGGGACGACCTGCAAAACGGACTGCTGAGCACGTGTCGAGAGCTCTCCCGGGCCACTGCCGTGAGTCCTTTGGTTGTCCTCCAAGCTGCCCGGATCAGGACCTGGTGGCACAGTACTGGGAGACTGAGTCCCAGAGCTGACTGATGGTGGAGAGAATTCGGGGGGGGGGGGGGGGCGGTCACCACGTGCAACTTAAAAGAGATAGAGGCGTGGCCATTTGGTCAGTGGTAGAGCAAGGCCTGGTGCCATGCCCTATGATCCCAGCACTCAGAAAGCCAGGCCTAGAGGGCACACCCGTCTCAGAACAGGGTTGTTTAAACTGGGTGTGATACCACAGGCCTTTAATCCCAGCACTCAAGGAGGCAAAGGCAGGTAGATCTCTGTAAATTTGAGGCCAACTGTAGCCACATAGACTCTATCTCAAAAAACAACAATAACAAAATTACAGTTTTTGTCTTTTCTCTGTGCTTTTAGTTGATTTGTCTCTAAGATTGTTATCATAATAACAATCTTGTTTTTTTGTTTTGTTTTGTTTTGTTTGGGTTTTTGGGTTGTTTTGTTTTTGTTTTTGTTTTTTGAGACAGGGTTTCTCTGTAGCTTTGTGCCTTTCCTGGAACTCACTCTAACCCGCCTGCCTCTGCCTCCTGAGTGCTGGGATTAAAGGCGTTCACCACCACTGCCTATCCATAATAACAATCTTAAAATATGGTGTCACACCCTGTAAGACTAACACTCAGAGTCCAAGGCAGAAGAATTGCTAGAGGTTTAAGGCCAGCCTATGGCTGTGTTGTGAGAACTTACCTCTAAAAAGAAAAAGAAAGAAATATTAATTCTTGTTGGTATACTTTGTTTAGGGACATAAAAACAAAGGGCAGCCTTTTTCTATAAATAGAGCCATTATTCTTTATGAGGTAGATATTTACTGAGAGAAGTATTTCTGCTTCTTATATAGTATGCAAATAAAAATTCTTTTTTTTTTCCTTTTAATTTTTGAGGTCATAAGAAAAAATTCTTAGATATGTTAAAATGTATTTCATTAGCCAGGTGGTGGTGGTGCACACATTCAATCCCAGCACTTAGGAAGCAGAGGCAGGCAGATCTCTGTGAGTTCGAAGCCAGCCTGGTCTACCAAGTGAGTCCCAGGAAAGGCGCAAAGCTACACAGAGAAACCCTGTCTCTAAAAACCAAAAAAAAAAAAAAAAAAAAAAAAGTCTACTGAAGCCAATAATGACTAGTATTCACAGTCAGACAGACTATTCAGTGTTTTATTTCTCCCTGAGAATTGACCCAAGCCCCTGCATACAGTTGGCAAGCACCCTATGGCTCCCGCATTCCCAGCTAAGTTACCAGGAAGACCTTGCTTCTGCCTCAACCTTCCAAATATCAGGGATTACAGTCATGTGTTGCCATGTCTGTATTTTTCAATATAAACCAGGTGTGGTGAGTCACATACTTTCAACCACAGCAATCTAGAAGCTGAGACAGGAGGGTCATTACAAGATCAAACAAGTCAAGCCAGGGTTACATAGTGAGATCTTGTCTCAAAAAAAAAAAAAAAAAAATGACGGGGCTGGAGAGATGGCTCAGTGATTGAGACCATTTACTGCTCTTCCTAGTACCCAGCACCACGTGGTGGTTCACAACCATCCATGACTCCATTTCCAAGAGATCTGATGCCCTTTCTGACCCGTTGAGCACCAGGAACTCATGTAGTGCACATACATACCTTCAAGCAAGCAAACGCTCCTATGCTTAAAGTAAATAAATAAAAACATGGAGAAACCAAAAAAAAAGAAAGAGAGAGGGAAAAAAAAGAAAGGAAGGGGGGGAGAGAGAGAAAGAAAGAAAAAGGAAGAAAGAAAGAGAGAGAAAGAAGGAAGGAAGGAAGGAAGGAAGGAAGGAAGGAAGGAAGGAAGGAAGGAAGGAAG